GAGAGAGAGAGTCAAATTTGATATGTATTTTAACTTTAAATTTATTATAAAAATGAATAAAATTGTCATTAAATTGAATAATGATTTTCACCGAAGAAATAGTGAAAATAAGAAAATTTGATACGAAAATGCTTTTTATGCCAAACATAATGTAAAAATGCATTTATAAATGAAAAGTATAGTTGTATTGAATGAATGAATGAAAGAATACTGTATATATTTTTGTAATGTTTTTAATGCATTAATTTTCAAAAACACGGGAGCAATAAAAAATATTTCATGATTTGAATTAACATTAAATATTATTTATAATATATTTTCGCATCTCTTATTCTCAAATGCCTTACTTTTAATGAGAATATTATATTTAATGTCTTTAAATATCACTAATAATAATATTATTATATATTTTGAGTCAAATTCCGGTTTTTTCAGCGACGATATGCTATTAATAAGTATTAAAAAATTACATTTTATTTTTTGATTCTTCTTCTAAATGCTAATTTCAAACCCTATTTTTCTTTCTGTTTTATAAAGTGTTTAAATAAATACAAAATTTACAAAATTAACAGACATTTAATCTCTAATATTATGCAAACATTCAGTGAATAAATTATGGCAAAGAAAATACATTTTAAAAGATATAACCGATTTTTTGGGCAACTTTTTTGGACGTTTACTGCCATTCAAAATGATGTAAAAATATAGAAATTTTTGAGGTTTAGCCTCAAGTCTATTGAAAAATTAATCGATGCATTGATTCAATCGACTTTTATAACCATTAAATATATAAGTTTTGTATTTCGCTATATATTTAATGAGAAATAAAATATTGAATCCATAAAAATAATTAATTCAGTCATAAAACGTTAGAAAATTATAGATATTTCGTTAGTAATTCAATAATTTGTAGTTAAAAAATAAAATAAAATTTTTAATTTGAATATAAGCGCAGATTTTTGGTACAAAATGTTTAAATGGATTGAATTTCTAATTATAATTTGATAACAAATTTTGATCTAAATTTAAACGACTGGGAAAATAAATACAAGCATTGAATTGAAGACTATTGACATTCAATTGTAAATCAATTACTAAAAATAATCCCGACTTATAATTTATCACAAATTAGTTTCGTTAAGGTTTTGGCAGAAAAAACTTTTTGAAACATAAATGTCAATAATCTTTCGTTCATCCAATCAATTGATTTCCAAACGATTTCGCATTTAAAAATAAATTGTTTTAAGAATTATATATTAATAACTTTAAAACTTTTTAAAAACTAAAACTGAAATAATAATTACAATAATAGACGTAAAATTGAGATAAACGTTATATAAGATCTACATTTCGATCGCATAGAAAATTGATTACATGTTAAATACATATGATTATAGATGTTATCCTAAGATCTGTGGGATAACTGTTGTCTACAATTCACTGTCAATGCCTTCGTATTCGGCTTTCATTTCGGCGATCGCTTTGCGAAGAGAAGCGTTGTTTGGCTCAAAATCCTCGTATCGTTTGAGTCGATCTCGGGTTGCATTGAATTTCTCTCTCAAAATACGATTACTTTCTCTCAGCTTTTCAATGGATTCGGTACTCAAGTCGACTATATATCCGCTGGTCTTCAGCTCCTGTTCCGTCTCTTTAGTCTTTACATAATATTGTTTTGATTTGTTCTCATAGTATTTCATTTTGTCTTTCATTTGATCCAAATTGGTCTCAGTTTCAATCCTGACGGCCGATAAATACCCTTTCACTTTGTCGACCATTTCCTTCATATTAATGGCTTTGTTGTCGAGCTCTTTATCCAAACGTTTCAATTCATACAATTGGTGCGAATGTAATATCCGATCGATGACCACATGGTGTGCGTCCGGACCGCAAATGTCTTTCGGATTAATGTCTAACATGTGGCAGACGTGGATCAATAGATGCAAATACTTTTCCATATCTGCTGCCCAGCCATCGATCTGTTCTCGCGGTGTTTGCGATGTTTGTTGAGCTTTCAATTTCAATAAAGTCATCACAGTATCCATTATGGCTTTGATGTGTTTGGTTTCCATCATTCAGTCATCTCTTTATTAAATACAATCAATATTTAAATCCTTAATGTAGTGGTTATTTAATATCTGACTTACATTTGAATACAAGCAATAAATGCAAAACAAATTAATCTATATTTAAATATACTTTTGAGGTTTGTTTTATATATGTACAGCAATTTAAGAAAAATATAATCTAACAGCAAATTAATTGTTAGAAATAAATAACATAATTGACAACTGTCTTTTATTAAAAGCAATATCAAACCAATCAAGTCTATTAAAAACTTTACAATGTGAATTTCATTTAGTATTGAATAGATCTATCGTTACAATGTAATATTAAACTTATAACATATAACATGTTAGTAGATTATTTATCAATACAGTATGTGGTTAAAAAATAATATGATTATAAAATTTGTTGTCCCATAAGTATTAAAGAAGAGAAAAATGTCAATCAAATGGAAAATTTACAAATTTATGTGTAAAAAACTTCCTCAAACTTTACATTTTGAACATAACCAATGAGTTAAGCCTTTTTCTTATGTTGTTTCGCCGATTTAATAATAGGACGAACTTATAATAAATCATTGATTAAATTGTTGGCCAATTCATCACTGAAATGGGAAACGACTTTTAATAACTGATTACAAGGAGTGAGACATGCATTTCATTATCATAAGAGTAGACTATAAACATATACTGTTCAATGTATTAGGCTTTCCATCACATGTTGTGCACACAAAACCGATTCACATAATTAGCCACAAAAATATACGGATCAAAAGAGGCACTGCTCTGCAAAAGAGCCGTTTGGGTAAACAGTTTTTTGGGCTCACAAATAGACGCCAACGAAATGCAATCAATTTATAATTGAAATTATAGTTTAATACATATATTATTAAAAAAGTCTATTATATCTCAGAAGATGTATAATTCTAATGCAAATGCGGGAACCGTTTGCTCTCTTTAAGCATCACTTGTAATCTTTCAAATGGTATATAAATAGTTATGAGAACTTTTTGAAGAGAGAGAGAGAGAGAGAGAGAGAGAGAGAGAGAGA